GACGTCCATTCAAACTGGTTCAGCTACCCCTTCCCCCCCCCCCCCCCTGCCCATGTGGCCCAGCTGCTGTTGAGTGTTAATTAAACTGTGTGTAGAATTGTTTAGCTGACTTTGAATGGAATCACTTCGGTCCTCTACTCTCTCCAGCCCTCTTCAGTCAAGCTCGAGTTGCCCCCTAATGATTACGTTTTGTGCATTTGATGGCATTTGTTCGTTGTGGCGGGGGGGTAAGGAGGTGAGGGAATCACTTAAAATGTGTTATACAATTGGTATACAAGTGGCGGATCATGTGACTATAGCACAAACTTGAGCTGAGAAAGAGAGACAGAATGCTGTTATTATACGATTTATAATGGCAACTGTTATACCACAGCTGGCAATTGTTGTTATACACTAACAACTTGTAACAGCATGGCGCTAAAAAACAAATAAATCATCAAACAGCTGTGTTACATGTGGGAACTGTCATACACTTGATCGTTACTTGTTTAATAGTTATACATCAGCTGTTCTCAGTTCTCAGGCAGCTTAAGCGGCACACTAAAAATGATTTCAAGCCACTTGAGTGGGTGATTTGTTTCGCTGCAACTGTTCTACGAGAAGCGTGTCAATTGTTATACTTACTGTAACCGTTAAATGTTAAAATATAGAATGTTGCAAAAGAATATTAACATATTTAAAAGATTTTAGAATGACATTTTTAATCTTTTCTAATGTCCCATTCAGACTGTTATACAGCTCATAAAATACTACAAAGCTCTTATACTTATATTATATTATTAGTCTCGCTAATTCTCTGTTATATTGTGCTACCAAAACTGCTATACTGTCTGTAAAAACTGATATTTTGTCACATCAACTGCTATACTGTACTGCTAAAGTTATTATGCCTAACTTAATCTGTTATACTGTTATTTTAAGACTTTGCTGTTCGAATAAGACTCGTTAATGGTGATATTCAAATTGTTAAAATTTGTTATAAAACTGTTATATGGTGCGACTCAGACTTGTCTACTGTCCTATTTTAGTTGTTATTCCGTTCGACTTAAATTGTCTATTCTACTACTACTAATGCTGTTATACTGTCCCACTTCGATTGGTATAGTCTTGCTGTTAATACTTTTATACTGTCTTGCATATATGTATATTGTATTTAACATTTGCCTACTCCAATACTTATATGTTACTAATTTAATCAACTTAAATCGATACAAAAGTGTTATACTACTTATACATTTAATGACGCACGCTCTAATCACTTCCAATGATAATCAACTAAGCCCTTTGAGCGCCAAGTGGCAAAGAGAAAGGCTCACCGACCCCCTCAAATCCTAACACACAGGCGAGCTCTGACGTTCGTCGTTTCCATGGACATGGGCGTAGGTGCAACTCTCTCTGAGTGTGTGTGCCTGTTTATGTGTGTGTGTGTGTGTGTGTGTGTGTGTGTGTGTGTGTGTCAGTTTAGATTAGCTGCACTCTGTGCCCGACAGCTAAAACAAATGTCTGCCCACTCATATATATACATACATATATAACGAGAGGGCATTAGTGTGCTTTTATATGTGCACGACTCGTAGATACCCTGTGCACAACGCCTAGCAGAAGTCCAAGGAGATGTTCTTGAATAACTCTGTAAGGCATAAATATGGCATATAATCTAGCTATATATAACCCTTGCCTGCTACGTACCAGTATACCTATTGTAGCCGCCTCCAATGGGTACAGGGTATACAAATATAATATATGTATATACATATATGTATAACTAACCATTGTATGCGGAACTGTGCGGCGCACAACACAATTTACTCGTATACTAAATGCAGCTTCTGTGTGCGTGTGTGTGTGCGTGTGTGTGTGCCTAGTTCTATTAACTAACAACTAGTATGAGTCCGAGGGCAATTTGCGAGAGGCTCGTGGCTCACCTCGCACCTTGGCCAGCCTTGACTTTCATCATGAATCTTAATTAGACATAGTTGTAGCATTTTATTATTATTATTATTATTATTATTATTTGTTGTTGTTGCTTCCCCAGCTTCCCCCCCTTATAAATATATATTTATAGATATATATAGATATATAGAGTCTGAAAGCCCATTGAACGACCCAGTAACCGATATCAATATTTAGCACAATTGCCTTTGATTGTTATTAATGTTAAATGCGAACTATTTGGCCCGGTATCGAGCGAATCGGTAGCAGCCCCATATTGACGCCGAGCGCCATTCATTAGCCACGGACACGGGCAATGGTCAATGCCCACGCGTAATTGGAACTAATGCGTCCATTTCGATATGCCCAGCCTCGGTTTAGGGGTACGGCGGCACGTCAAGGCTGAACGAGCACTTGGCACGATATGTCGAACCAAAAAAATTTGGTGGAAAACCAAAGCACACTCAAACAAGAAGGAGTGCCACAGACAAGCTGATAATCTTTGGGCGTGGCGGAGAAATTCAGAAGCCGTGGGTGTCCGTCTAGGAGGACGGCTACCCTGGGATGATGTCAGAAACATTCGAACTGTGCTTCCTCTTGCCTCAGACAAACACTATGCGAAATGCTCTCTTTAATAACTGCGTTGTTAATCGATCGATATTTGTGAAATGTTGGGAGCTTAGTTATATCAACCAAATATGTCTATATACCAAAGCACAAAGCCTTATCTTTAAAAGGGAGATTTTGTATACCCTGAATCCATTAAAAATGGGTAAAAGGGGTATTATGTATTTGTGCAAATGTATGTAACAGGCAGAAGGAAGCATCTCCGACCCCGTAAAGTATATATATTTTTGATCAGCATCAATAGCCGAGTCGATCCATGTCCGTCCGTCTGTCCGTATGTATGAACGCAAGGATCTCAGAACCTATAGGAGCTAGAGACTTGAAATTTTAGCTGTAGGTCCTGCTAGTCCCCGCGCAGATCGAGTTTGTTTCTGATATTCAATAACTTGCCCCGTTTCCAATCGATATCGAAATCCTGCTTTTTGAGCAATTTCGGCAAATAATATGAGCTAGAGTCTCCAAACTTGACATGTAGCTTCTAGAATAGTATATAGTATATATCAAGTATCTTTCGTTTTATACCTATCGCCTGTTGGCAGAAGAGGGTTCAGGGTATCCCCTAGTCGGGAGCTCCCGACTAGATCGTCTTACTTGTTTCCATATCGGAGAGGTATTCAAAATGTAAAATAGTCATAATATATATTTGGTGTATCTAGCTCTTTGTATCTACGACATATGCCTAAAAACCCGTTAAACAAAATCGATATTTATCGATGTGCTGTGCAAATTGTGGAAAAATCCGAATGAATATGAAATATTTAAAAGCATTGAAATTGCCTTGGGAAAAAAGCAGATTATTATACAAATGAATTGCCTGGCAAATTAGCCAGCACTGGTCTTTTATTCAGCACAGTACTTATCCGATATATTGGACTGCTCATAATTATAATTAATTCGCATAATAAAATCTGTGAAGCTCTCTGTTAGCAGTTGGCACAATTTGTTAACTTTTGGCAACAAATTAACTGTCCATCCAATTATTTGTCAATATTTATTTACGCTAGAATTTCGAACGGGCAAAAGCAGCCGTGAAATTTGTTGTTTATTGTGCCAACAAATTGGTTCATTTTTATGGGGTTCCGCTTCAGTTCTCATCAGATTAAATATATTAATATATTAACAAATTGTCAAATAGCTTAGCCTTGGGAAAATTATGCACAAATAGAACGGAACAAAAAAAGTGAACACTTAAAACCAGAATTAGGCGTATTCTTCATATATTTATTGAAGAATATTCATTTGATTGAAAACTTGGGTTTGTGTAGGTTCAGTAAATGTTTGATCAATAAACATATGCAAATATAATTAAGTACAGAAGAGAAGGCTTAACTCTTCGCTAGCTCTGTCGCTTGTGCTTATAATTCTCAAATGGTTAAAGCTTTTCGCAAACATTTTATTCGATTGAAAATTGTGAAAAATGCGTTCGCACTCAAACCTTGTCTAATTGATGTGTAAAACAGGGTAAAGTGAACCAGCGCATTGGTTCGAACCAGGGAATATATTTTGCCAGGATAATGACATGGTTAAATGTATGTATATGCTTAATGGAATCAAAAAATAAGGAAATAGAAGTGGAAATGGAATATTAACCATAAGGCTAGATGATATAAAAGTTCGTTAGTCGGCTTTTGGCCATCATAATGAGTGCTAAATATAAATATAAATTTATTATTATTATTATTTATTATCTGCCCACTCAATCGGTGGATGATTGTGCATCCCTTATTTGATGGCTGTCGTTATGGTGTTATATCATAACAAGTAAGAGATTCTAGACGAGAGCTCCCGACTAGGGGATACCCTGAACCCTCTTCTGCCAACAGGCGATAGGTATAAAACGAAAGATACTTTATATATACTATATACTATTCTAGAAGCTACATGTCAAGTTTGGTGACTCTAGCTCATCAATCTGCGCGGGGACCTACAGGACCTACAGCTAAAATTTCAAGTCTCCAGCCCTTATAGGTTCTGAGATCCTTGCGTTCATACATACGGACGGACAGAGGGACATGGATCGACTCGGCTGTTGATGCTGATCAAGAATATATATACTCTATGAGGTCGGAGATGCTTCCTTCTGCCTGTTACGTACATTTGCACAAATACATTATACCCTTTTTACCCATTTTTAATGGGTTCAGCGTATAGAAAATAAAGGAAAACACAGCCCTCAAGCGTTTTGTCAACAGGACTTTTGGTTTGGTTCGTGCGGCCTTGCCCTTAGGCTGACCCTGACCTTTTGGCCCGCTCCGTAGGGAACAGCCAAGTATATGTACATATACATATACATATATATTCGCGGCGAAATGAAGTCATCAAAGTGCCAAAAACTGCGTCCCGAGTTGTATTAAATATCATAATTCCATATTTCAATTAACTTGGGCTAATTTGTAATTTCAGCTATTACCGAATGAAATTTAAAAAAAAAGAGAATAGAATTAAGAAACTAAATACATAAAGTAAATAATTAAATGGATTATAATCGAAATTGAATTGTATAAATTGTGAATTGGGCACGCTTCCAAAATATCAATATATATATTTATATATATGTGTATATATATATATGTCAGTGCCGGTAATATCTGCAGCCCGTTGCTGCTGCCCCATTTCGGGTGGTGCAACATTCAGTTGCGGCTCTTCTTCTTGCCACGCGATTTGCATTTGCGTCGCTTCCTCTCGGTTTTTGGGGGCATGGCCGTTAGGGCGCTAACACTGCAATTGTTGCCGTTATTGTGGCCCTCGCTCTGGCTGCAACTGTTGCTGTTGCAGTTGCAGTTGCTGTGGCTGTGGCAGTTGCTGTCGCTTTCCAGCTGAAAGCTTACGGTTTTGGCAGCGCCGGCATTCAGCTCAACATCCTCGTAGGTAATGGCCGCTATTATTGGCGCCTCAACGATCTCGAGCGTTGCTGCTGCTGCTGCTGCTGCTGTTGCTGCTGCTGCTGTTGTTGCCGCTTCGGCAGCAGCAACAGTTGCCGGTTCGACAGCACCAGCGCACATACGGATTGGTGCATGATAGCAAATGTTGGCACCGCCAACAGCGCTAAGACGCGTCACATTTGGCTGAAAATCGATCAGCACCGGGCGTGGACTGAGCTGTTGTTCCTGTGCCAGCAATTGCTGCTGTTGCTCCTCAATTAGCTGACGTTGCTGTTGTATTAATTGCTGTTGCTGCTCCAACATTTGCAACTGCTTTGCCTTCTTCAGCTCCTGTTGCTCCTGTTCTCCCTGTGCCTGCTGCTGTTGCTGCTGCTGCTGTTGCTGCTGCAGTTGCTGCTCTTCTTCTTTTTGCTGTTGCAGTTGCAACTGTTGCTGCTGCTGCTGTTGCTGCTGCTGTTTGAGTGTTCGCAGTTGTTGCAGAGCATCCCTTCTGCGCTGCTCCTGCGGCCAGGGATGATTCTTTAGCTGCTTTACAAATGGCAAATATTTCGCATCAACCACAATTGGCGGCGGATCAAAGTCTCGATTGTGATCAGCTAGCTCTGTGCTCGAATCGGACGACTCAATATCGCTGCTGCCGGGCAATGCATCCTCAACCGGAGCCTGCTCCAGTTGAACATCCTGCTCCAGCAGCTCTTCGTCCTCCGTTTTGCCCTCCGACAGACCCTTTCTGCTGCTGCTGCCGCCGCTGCGACGACCATGTCGTGCTGTTGTGCTCGCCTGATTCAGACGTCGCACCATCGGCCTATACAGATAGCGTACGGGCAACGGCTTCTTGCCACGCACCACGGGCGTGGACACAAAATACTGATAGCTTATATCGATGCCATCCTCTATGGTCTTCGGCACCTTGTGCTGATCCACGCGCACAATTTTCGACGATCCCGTTGCCGTTGCCGTTGCCCCTGTTGCTGTTGCTTTCGGCAGCTGTTGCTGCTGTGCAGGCTTCTGCTGCTGCTGCTGCTGTGGCTGTGGCTGCTTGATCGGCGGCACACGCTTGTTAATTGAGGATAGCGTTGATGGCCTGGACGCAGCAATTGTTGCTGCTGCTGGTGATGGTGATGATGGTGATGATGGTGGTGTTGGTGGTGGTTGAGTTATGATCCGCAGCGGCGCATCGGGCATTATTTTGATAACCGTTGAGGTAAGCTTGATGCTCTTGTTGCCGCCCTTAAATGGATGGGGCGTGTCGTAGGAGTCACTATTCGACCAGGTGCTGCTGCTGCTGCTGCCACTCAAGCCGAGCATAAATCGATAGCTGCCGTTGCTGCAATTCGTGTTGCTGTTCGGACCGGGCTTAACGGACGACGCCGACCTTCGACTGTTGTCGACGGACGCCGTCTGTTTAACGCCGTCCGCCTGCAACAGCAGAGTCGTTGATCGCACGCTCTTGGCCTGCAGGTGGCTTGGCTGCGCCTCATTATTTGGCACTGTAAACAAGCGCGATTGTACATTGGATTTTGTTGGCGTCTCCACAATTTGCTGACGCCCGGGCCTCGGGCTGGGGCTGGGGCTGGTGCTTGGCCTGGGGCTGTTGCTGTTGCTGCTGCTGTTGCTGGGCCCGATGCCGATGCCCGGCCAGGAGGCATCAGCGCTCAGCTGCTGTTGGCTGACATTGATTGGCGAATTGGCCTCCGACGAGGATTCGCTGCATTGACGAAAATTGCTCTGCGGCATCAGCAGCCATTTCGTCTGCGGCGTCTCGTTGCGCACACGGACGCTGCGACGAACACCACGTGCCGCCGGCTTCCGGCCGATGCCTGTCGCCGTTTTGGACGCCGGCATGCTCCAGTCCGTATTGTTGGCATCTGTGGCGATCGGACGTGTCTGGTCGCGACTCCGATTGATGGTCGTTGTCGCATTCGCCTTCTTGGGCGCCACTTCTGCGCCAGCTGCTCCCCTCGCGTTGCGCCTATAACCGCCCGTTGCCGATTTTCCCGCCGTGCCGCCGCCGATGGCTTTGCCCGTGGCCAATGCTTGCGCCCGCCTTGTGAACTCCTCCACAGTGCACGGCATTGTGTTGGCTGCCTTTGGCTGTGCGACGCGTCGTTTGGCCACTTTTGCTTTTGCCGGCTCCGCTGAGGATGGCGGCGGCGGCAGCAGCAGCTGCTGCAACTGTTGCTGTTGGCGCATTGGGACGCCTCCAAAGCGGGCACGGGCCGCTGTATGGGCAACAAAGCCGTGACCTTCGCCAGCGCCGAGCGTCATGGAGCCGTAGAATGCGTTGGTCTCGACGCCCCGAGCCCCCGCAAAGAATTTCGACCTTTCCAAAGACATTCGCTTGGTAGCAATAATTTAAAAACGAAATTTTAACTGTGCCCACTAATAAATTTCCAAAGTGTTGTTTTTTATTTTATTTTTTTTTGGTCTGGGGCTTTTGGGTTTTTTTTTTTTTGGGGTGTTTTGTTTTGTTTCAAATTTGATCCGACTTAAAGAATATCTGGAGTTTGTTTAGATTTTTTTTGGTTTCTTTTTGTTTTTTTTTCTGTTATTTATTTTTATTTGTTTTTTTTTTTTTGGTTTTTGAGAAGGTTTCCCAATTTTGTAACTTACATATTTCCGAAAGCATGAAAACGAACTGTTTTTAACCAAAATTCAAGGTATACTTTGATGGAAAAAAAGTAAAAAGTAACTACGTTAAAAGTATCGACCTGACAGTTCCAGATATGATGGAACTTCTCTTGCTTTCCATTCTCCTCTGTACAGAGAGTACGGCACGCCGAAGACTAAATACCCTTATATGAGATATCTGTATGATATAGTAGTTCGATGCTGAGATTTGGTTCGTCCAAAAGCAGCACGACGAACAAGTAATTACATGTTTAACTAATCATTCCAATGGCTGGCTTCACTTTTAAGCCGAGAGGCTAGTTAGTCTCCCATTTTCCACCAATTGACCTGACCTCATTGAACTGTATAGACCCCATCGAGTTGAACAAAAATCAACGCTGATATGGTATTGATTTGTACACGTATATTTAAGTATGACAACTATCTATACTGTAGAGAAAAAACATTGAAATATTAACCGAAAAACCTGTCGTATTGTAGAATGTTGCCCCGCCAAGTGGGGCAGTTCCTTAAGCTTGCTTTCGAATTGAAGATGAATTCGCTATGAGAATAACCAGAGGAGGAAATTCAACATTTAATGAGACCGCTCGAATCGAAGTCAAGAGAGCTACAAATATGTCAAGTTATCCTTATGTAGATGCCGGATCCATATATAGGGAAGTCCCTAGGCATAGGGAGGTCCGATATGGAACTACTGAAGATCCTCAATTTCTATGCAAAATGCAAAATCCATGCTGAAAACGGAGAATCAATGGAAATACTGTAATCCTATGGTGTTACTGAGTCCCCCTGGAGAATCGGAATGCCTATGGAGATGAGGAATTTCTGTCCGGGATTGCAGAAAGCCCATTTCGAGGACTGCAACTCCGTTGGGTATATTACTCAATACAAAACCTAATTGAGGAGCTGGGCAGATGCTGGGTCATTAATCGTTATCCAAGGATTTGAGCCAGCTTAGGGATTACGAAAGCCAAGCTTAGGCTTGTTTGAGGAACTGCGACAGATTTCCAACGCTTCCAATGAACCCGTCGCGGCGGTGTCATATTCTGGCAAATCATAGGTGCCACCATACTGGCCGAGCTGCTGCAGATGCCTATAGAGCTGCTTGAGCTGCTGCAGATCACAGAGCAGGGCCGGATTGTGGAGCATTAGACGAAAGCGGCGCAATCGTGTATTGTTCAGATTCAGACGCTGCAGCCAGATCAGTTGCTCGGCCCGGATCATGGGCAGCAAATGATCGAGCAGCGATTGCAGAAATTGTCGCTGTTGCATGGTCAGCGGCTCCTCCGGCGGCATGCTGACCAGCTCGAGCAGCAGCTCCATGTCGCAGCGATGCAGCGTGAGGCTCGGCTTTAATCTTAGCACATGCAGCGTTGTGCGCAACAATTGCTGCAGCTGACGTTCGGATAAATGGGTGTAGCTGTATTTCAGGTGCTGGTACAGCTGCTGCAGCTGTGCAGGATTCAGTTGATCGAGGAACTGCATCAGCTGCGGCTGCTGCAGCCGGCACATGTGCTTCATGGCCGCCGCCAGCAGGCGACGTGCCTGCGGCCGGGCATTCGTTTCGCCCAGCATCAGATATAGCTGCAGCAGCTCCACATGCTCGCCCAGCGACATATCGTAATGGAAATGCGGCAGCTCCGATACCAAACGCCTAAAGAATCGCATCAGCACAGCGCGCATCGGCAGCAATTGCTGCAGCCGGCGCAGCTGTCCGGCATCCAGCATGCCGCACAGAAAGCTCTGCTCCAGCATAACCGCCAGCTGCTCCGGCGGCAGCAACAACAGCTGCTCCACATGTTCCATCAATTGCTGTTCCTGTGCCGTGTCGTGCGGTGACAGTAGCGTGCGCAGCTGTATGAGCACCGCCTCCGCATCCGGCTGGGCGCGTCTGCTCTTCGGCTGCGAGAAATTGATGCCGTACAGCTTGTTTATGGCGCCGCCCTGCTCCATTTCCCGCTTCATGAAGCGTAACAGCAGGGTTGTGGGTATTGGATGTTTCGCTGGCGCCCGAATATATTTTGTCACCGTACAGTCGCAATCGCAGGCCAAACATCGGGCCGGAACTGCTGGCGGTTGTTCTGATGCCCGACCGCCGGCAACAATACGGATGTGGCTGTCCATCTGCCCGATGCAGTTCGGCGATGGGGCTGCCGTTGGCCTCAGCAACGCGAATCGCTCGTGGGATGTTTGCCGCTTGCAGTTTCTTGACATATTTGCAATTCAGTTGATTTCATTGTCGTCACCTTCAATGACATTTTTGAAAATTTGGAATTTTACTAAGCATTTTGGGATCGACTGGAGTGTCAGCTTATGAATAAACTGACCCCCTGGTGGACACTCGCTAGTTGAACAAAGCACAGTCACTTTATCCACCAAATAGTATCTGCATTTTGAGTGCCTTTTTGCAGTCGGGGTACACCCGACGAGGGAGAACAGTGAGCCCTAGACATAACGAACAGTTTTGTAGTTTTTGAAACAAAGTGAGCTTGGTGATTAAATCGTTGCCTACTTTTGCTGGCCAGCTTCTGAGTGATTTCTGTTAACTGACCCTGGAGAACAGTGAGCTCTGCTCCTTGTCGAAGGTCTGGGAAAGACTGATTGTCGCCCGACTTGCAAGGCTTATGGATCACAAGGTCATCCAGAGTCCCAGAGTCTCCCGACTACCCACGTGATGATGCAGCCTTATTCAAAAAAAGCCGCCTTTGACGTTAGTCCACGACCCAAAAAGGCTTGGCGAAACATCACCTAAGCCAACTGTGTTGTAATAAAAATGTATGCTATTTTTGATCCAATACAATAAACATTTAAAAAAAAAAAAGAGCTCTGAAAATAATCTGTGTTGTCTTACAATTCTCGCATAATTAGAAGATTAGAAGATATTTTGTTGTAATTTTCAATTGTTATTCCGTTTGTTAAGAAGCCTTGTGAATGCTGGCGCCTGGCAGAGCTCGTTTAATGTTAACCGTTCGATTTACATAACCATAACATAACCGCAGCAGTGCCTATGTTAATAAACACTCACATAACCGCAACGGTTCCTATGTTAGTTAACACTTACATAACCATAACATTACCGCAACCGTGCCTATGTGAGTTAACACTTACATAACCATAACATAAACGCAACCGTGCCTATGTGAGTGAACACTTACATAACCATAACATAAACGCAACCGTGCCTATGTTAGTTAACACTAACATAACCATAATGCAACCGCAACAGTTCCTATGTTAGTTAACACTTACATAACCATAACATTACCGCAACCGTGCCTATGTGAGTTAACATTTACATAACGATAACATAAACGCAACCGTGCCTATGTTAGTTAACACTAACATAACCATAACGCAACCCCAACAGTTCCTATGTTAGTTAACAGTCACGTGTCGTTTTATAGCAACATCGGGTATGTGGGAACAATATGTGGTTTATACGTAATATATTGTGGTCCAAGACATCCAGATATATAGACATGTGTAATTTAATGTTTATAATTGTGTGTTTTTCGATGCCAAACAACAACAAAATTAGAAAAGTGCATTATTGGCTGCTTTCAATGCAACCCCCCATCACCCTCACAAGGCCCCGACCACCACACGGCCCAGTCACGTCGTGTCCGTAATGTGAGCCATCTGTGCCAGAAATGCTGTGCTGGCTTGTTGGCCTTATTCATTTGGTCATGCTGCTACTGTAGTAACGCCTGCCGTTGGCGGTACCAGAATAGCGCATGCCCCTTGTTGCTGGATTACTTAAACGATTGGATGTCGCTTTAATGGTGGATGTCGGTGAGGGATTCGCCTCGTTTTGGGCCGAGGGCTTCCGATCGCAATACTGGCGATTCAATACAGATTGACGTGTTGGTGGCGCCTCCTCGACATGATCGCTGCCGGCGGCTGGATTTTTATTATTATACTTATTGCGGCGCCTGATCCTATTGCGGCGAACCACGTGCTTGTCAACGGTGGCCACTTTGCTGTACAGCTTGCAAATGCTATTGCACAGGCGGGATGTGTACAAGCTTTGCGTGAGCTTCTCCTGGTCGCGCAGGCTGCACACCAGCCTCTTCAGATCAACGCCCTCGAGCGTCTGGAGCAGCATATCGAGATGAACCGGACAGTTGGCCTTGGCATTGAGGCGCTGCAGCAGGTTCAGCAAATACTTTTCCTGGTCAATCGTTAGCACCGATGTCAGGAACATGAGCCGTACAATCTTTAGCATATTGTCAGTATCGAACGGATCAATGGGCAGTCCACACCGATCGTACATGCTGTCATATATGTCCAGATCGTTTAGCTCTGTGTATGGCGCCTTAACGTGCTCCATGACATCCCAGACACGATCGCGGGGAAATCGCTTGAGCGGCTGCTGCTGCCGATAGGCCAATTTGAACAATATCGATACCATATATTGGATCGAGCACGAGAATAGGCAGCTGAGCGCTTCGATAATGTGACGATTACGGCGGCAAATGCAATCGCAATCGAGACCATTATCATCTTCATTATCATCATCATCATCAGAATCCTTTTGGCATTTTTGGCAACCGTCTGTGGTGCAATGCCGGAACCAGCGATATTTCGATACGGACTGCTGCTTCTCCGGATATTGCCCACAACGGACATCCGGCTTGGGGCCACAGCAGCCGGAGCAGCTGCAGCGTCCAACGCAACGACCGCAGCCACCGCGGCACGCTGCGCACATTTTCAATAATTTTGTTGTTGCTGGTTTTGAGCTCGAAATTTATTTCCGATAAATATATTCCAATGAAAAGGCCACATGATTACCCAGTGTTATCTGTGTTTGAAACAAAGTGAATCCGAATTTTCTCACTCATTTACACTCTCCATTTGTCGCTTATTTCAGCCCATCTATCCATCATCCGTTTCGCTTGGCTCTCACTTTTTTTTTTGTATTCTATTGTCTTTTGCCTTAGACCAAACCATTTTGTAGCTTCCGTTTCGACAGTTCCTTGCACAAATCGCCTGAAGGTTCAGTTTCTGATATATGAAAGGTTGAAATTCTGCGCGTGTTCCCGTTGGAATTTCCAGCAAAAGTTACTCCATCTGACAGTACTTTTATCATGCCTATTTCGATTGAAGTTCTAAGTTCCTGGTGGCAGCAGCCTCTAAAGTTTACTTTTCAACTCTTTAATTTTTGACTTGTATTTTGCAAACTCGAAGCGAACACACAAATGAACCCCAAACAGGGAGAGGGGATTTTTCTACGTCATTTTCGTTTACAACACAAGGTACATTAACAAATTGGAGAGTACGACAGAGATTAGTGGGCTAGATAAACAAAATAATATTATTTTAACAAACTTGAAACAAGCGAGGAAACTGTTTTAAATAGCTCTAGCCAAGAGAAGGCAATTTGTCCATAAACTTGCCTTCTTCTTGCCTGCATGACAGGGTCACTCAGACAGCAGAGAAAAAGGGAAAGAGAGAATGAGAGAATCTCACAATTCATAGTTTCGGGCAAGGACTTGTTCAAGCTCAGAGAAATAACAAGTCACTCAAATGAAAGTTTAAGAAAAAACCCCGATAGAGTAAATGACAAAATGAGTACAAATACATTTAACAATATCTTCGAGTAACAATGAGTCGCAAGTTAGACCTAAGAGAGGTCTCGAGAGAGACACTGACCAAAGAGATATCCTCTCGCTCTCGCTCTCTCTCTCCCACTCTCTCGCTCTCTCCCTATATATATATATATATCTTTCTCTCACTCATTAATCGTAAAACAAAAAGGTCATGTTGAACAAGTGACAATTTTTAAGGGATTTCTAACTTCAAAATTTGAATTATTTAAATACTTTCGGCATTTCCAAATTAGCAGTGAGTGCTATCCCAGACTCGAGTGCCCTCAGCGTTGAGGGTTCCCTACTATGCGATAGCCAGCTGGTGATCGCAACGAGCCCGGCCAGCAGCAACAGCAGCAACAACAGCAACAACAGCAACAACAGCAACAACATGGAGATGACATTGTCGCCACAGGACAACATTGTGTGCTGGGAGCAGGAGAATGAGAACATCAAACTCGATTGCCAGGAACGTTATGTGGTCGAGGAGATGCAAAATTTTCCGCCGCGCAATGCCGCGGGCATCGCAAATCGTCGCAAATCGTCGTTTTGCATATGCCGCAAATGTCCAGCCAGATCGGCGTCACCGAAACGCAGACGTCGGGCGCGCGGTCAGAAGGTTGTCGACCAGCTATTGTCGAATGAACGGAAACAGGAGAGACTTATCGTGCCGGATTTGGCAACGGAATGGTTTCGCAAACAGAAGGTCTTTCTCGACAAGGTGACGCTCAGGGAGCGACGCGAGTTGCGGCATCAGATACAACTGGGGGAAAACATACCAATATCGTTAACGTGCGACTGCAAGAGATGCGGCTGCCATGAGCCGCAGCCGTTGCAGCACAGCGTTCAGTATTTGGATTATTGTCAGGAGCTGCGCCGGCGTCGCATGTTAATCCAGCGTCAGCGACACCAGCTGCGCCACGGTGAGTCGATATGCAAGTGTGCCGAACCGCCGAAATGGCCGCCAAAGCCGCTGCTAATGGTAAAAACCAACTGGAAGAAGGAAAAGAAGTGTGTCAAGAAAACGGATACAACGGATGCAACAGAGACGCTGGACAAGGCCAAGAAGCAGACGTCCGAGCAGGAACTGACGCTAGAGCCACAAAAGCAACAGCCGACGACGACGACGATGACGACCAATAATATTACCATCTGCAATCCGCAGTTGGCCGGCTGCATTACGGATCAATTGCCGGATAAGAATCGCTTTACTGCCGGCTCGGTTAGCAGAAAGCCGAAGGCAAGTGTTAGTCAAATGTATCCGCAGCGCACGTGCAAATGTTTGCGTCCGCGTCGCCGTAACTCGTGCGCCTGCATCTTCCAGGCGGATGGCCAGCCAATGGCCGAGGAATGTCTGGCGGCGGTACGCCGGAGCGAGTCGCCGCCGCTGCGCCTACGCAAAAAGTATGATTTGCGCGAGGCGCCGCAACGACGACTCGATCCGGCATGCTATCGCCGCATCTCGCCAGAGTTTTATAGCCTGCTCAAGAGCTACGAGGATGGGATGACCGAACGCTATCCGTTATACGGCTTGCCCTTGCGCTACTGGACCCGAGCGGCGCCCAGCTGCCCCTGCGAGCAGCTGCCGGACGATGCAGCTGAACAGTGCCTGGGCGATCAGTCGCTGGCCACAGAAGTGCCGGAGAAGCCACCCAGAAAGCCGAGGGTTGAAGACGTCGAGGATGAAGTTGAGTGCGAGTCGTCGGTGTTGGAGCAAGAAGAATGCACTGCTTGCTGTGCGGACAGAAACGAATGCGTGCGGAACGACTGCCATGATGAGGCATGTGCCAGAGACGTCTGCACCCGCCAGCTGTGCGTTAAGAAAGAATGTAAAGGCATTTGCAACACGAATGAGCCAGTCAATCAGGAACAAGAACCCATCGAAGAAAGGCAAGGTGAATGCGGTAAGGGAACATGCAAGAAACGGCGTCCATTTGTAGCCAAGGCGCAGTCATCCGAAACGGAGATAAGCGCCCAAAACGTTAACCAGCCGAGGGTCAGCTATAAGCTCGAAAATGGTACGCGTCCTGTGACGGATCCCATGACCTTGGTGGAGACCAAGGTAATCAGCCTCATTGAGTCCAAGTCTCCGGGCCTCTTTAGGTCCAACTCACTGGGCATGCTGCTAGCCCAGACGATGGCCAAATCCACATCAATGAGCACGGTTGACTCCCCCAACTCAATTAGCTGGGTTGAGTCCAGCCCACTGGGCAAAGCGAAGTCCGAGACTAGCTCAGTGGGCATGGCCAAGTCCAAGCCCCTGAGCATGGATGAACTCAACTTGCTGGGCATGCCCCGATCCGAATCCCTGAGCATGGTTGTGTCGAATCCGTTGAGTGATGCCAACTCGCTGCCGAAGCAACGGGCACGCAAACGCAAAGGCTGGTTCTTTTTGACCAGCTCGGCGAAAAAGGACTTTCCTTCAACGAGCAGCCAAGAGGAGGACACCAAACGGAAGAACAAACGCAAGGGCGTCTTGGGCAGCGTGGCGGGCCTATGCAAGCGTGCAATCCAGCCGGGACGCTATCTGCTCTACAGCTTGAGCACAATCAGTCGCCAGCCGCCATCGTACGGCAGCGGGTCGTCGACAAACAAAAAATCCAAGAGCCTAAAGGAGTCGTCGTTTTTTTCGCGCCAGCCGAAACATGGCAACTGGAAACAGCGCCAGGAGCCAAATGCTTCGAGCAGTAGCCAATGCAATACGTCGCAGGCAACAAACAGTTGTTCGGTTCTGCAGAAAAAGTGCTTCTACTTGAAAAGGAAACCGGCCAAAGGACACCTCAGTGCTATTGGCATTAAACCCAAGCCAGCCGCCAGTGGCAAGCTGCAAGTTGTCATGGATGCAATCGCACAAATTCCACAGCTACAACAGCTCATGATAACGGAACCTTCGCCCAACCACATGTTACACTTGCCCGTCGAGACATCGTCGACAGATAGCCAACTGTTGGCACAGACAATATATTCCAGCGCTCCGAAGCTAGTGAAAACCGAGTCGATACCTTGCCAACCGATCAGTTCGATATGCAGCATACCGGACATGCGGATAACAACGCAAACGGAGCCAACTGAGAGCCGGGAGACAGTTACCAATTTGGAGTCCACGGACACCATATGTCCAGAGGCCAAAGCAGATGTCAAGCCCTCGACGAGCAATGCGGTACGGCGCAGCTATACGCCAGCGTCGGATTACACGCAGCTAATGCGTTTGGTTGCACGCAAGAGGGCCAAGCCGCTACAGTATAAACGCTGCACGGTTACCTTTGCGGATAGAAATCGAACGAATGTCAGACAGTATCCGAATCTCATGCAATATCAACGTATTCGCTGCAAATCGCAGCAATTATTTGCCATTAGAAATCGCAGTCCAAGCCCGGGTCCGAGAAATATGCGCACTCTCAACAATAGGAGCGTACACGCTCAAGGTACCAGCACTGGGGTCGCCAGCAGGGCTTATCCGCGTGCAAGCTGCAGCAACAACAATAGACCAAACGAAAGGATGGTGCTAACGTCCAAATATGATGTCGATTTGCCTGCACAGAAATCGGATTGGTTCTCACAGTATTCGGATGAGAGCGTTTCGGATTTCAGTCGGAACACCAAGGTCTTTGATGATGCGGACTACTTTAAGTCGCGCGAGACCAAACAATCGAGTTGGGACAATCGGAATCGGGCACAGAATTCCGAATATTCCTCGGATCAAAGTCTGCAGAGACGCAATCCACCTGTCACTGCCGGCGCCGCCGCCCACAATGCGCCACATACATGGAAAAGTCCGGTCAATCAGACTAGCGAAAATGCCAAGGACGCGAGGCACACAACAAGCGATAATCAACCATCCACAAGTGCACTATCCAGCAGCACCAGCAGCACTCCAACCAGCTCGTCCACGATCCAGAGCAGGCGGCGCACTGAACGCAATGCCGGCAACAGATGCTGCCGCCTGAATCCACACCGGGCAGCTCACCTGGCCGGCCAGTATAATGCGAGGACAGCGCACGGCATTGGGGTGCAGCTGACACGCTACGGCGATAGATTACAATCGAATGCGGTTGCGGATGGGCACCAACCTAAGATGGTACGTGACAATCAAATGGCTGAGATGGAATGGAAACGCGAAGTGCCGGAGGAGGTGGCAAGGCGACAAAGTGTGGACAGCATCGATAGTAGAGAGCGCATTGTG